TGAACTTGTAGACTTCAACTCCATGGTGGCTCAGGAATTCTGGAAGTTGAAGTCCAAAGGTCAAAAAGGGGCCCCAGTTCCCCACCTCTGCCCTAGGCCTTGCCCCAAAGACCAGGGCAATAGATACTTAAAACACAAGCACACAACCCTCCAAACTTATCTGAGAACCCCAAAATGCTGTGCCAACCCCCCCCCCCCAATAAATGGACAATTGCCTAGATAAATTACACCAGAAGTATAATCTCTATTCCCCTCTCCATGGCTTTTAGCAACCTTTCTTCATTCTTTGTTATTTATGAGGAAAATAGAAAGCAATAGAAATCTCATCCAGCCATCCTTCTGGTTGGTTGGTTGGTTGGTTTTTTGACAAAATAGAGGACTTTGTTGTTCACAAATATTTAAATCTTATCGTCTCAGCTATAGCAGTCAGTAATAAAAAGCTAGCTGGGTAATTTTGGGCCAGCCACTCTCTCTCAGCCCAACCCACCTGAGAGGACTGTTGTGGTGGGGAAAACAGGAGGAGGACTGTGTTCGCCCCCTCGAATTACTTATAGAATAATACAGTTGAGATAAACATCAAATAAATAAATAAAAAAAGCAAACGAGCAAATAAACCCTTGCTAAATAAATATTTAGAACAGAGGTCTCCAAACTTGGCAACTATAAGACTTGTGTGACTTCAACTTCCGGAATTCTGGGAGTTGAAGTCCACAAGTCTTAAAGTTGCCCAGTTTGGAGGCGCCTGGTTTAGAATGTTTATACATCTAATCCCTAACCAGTTCTACGTTTTGCCTGCGCTATCGTTCTAGAGAACCGTGGCACGTGGGAAGGTTTGTTCTCTTTCTTTGGGCCGATATCTCACAAACTTCCTCCCGGTCCCCACCATACCTGTGATGATAGGTGATAATAGCTGTAAGGGCTCGTATACAGATCCGGTAGCACATCAGGTGCACGTGCTTGCTGAGGAATTCTTTGTGCCTAAAGGCGAGAAGAACCGTGCTGTTATCCCATCTCAGTTTATAATTCAACCCAACTGCTGACATGCTAATAGTTTATAACATTACTCTCCTGCCTTTCCCAAACAATGCTTACAAACCTCAAGGAAAAATAATAATAATAATAATAATAATAATAATAATAATAATAATAATAA